CCCCCGGCCCGCGGCCACGCCCACCCGGCCCGCCCGGCCCGCCGCCTGGGCTGGCGCCTCTCCGGGAGGGGCCGCTCCGCCAGCGCCCAGCGGCCAGCTACCATCTCCAGGCGACCCTCGCGGACCCTAGACCAGGCCCCGCCGGGGACACACCCCGGACATGGGCCGCTACCACTCCCGCATCCCCGGTGCCTAGCGTTTCCCCCACCCCCGCGGGCGCCCGTGGTCCAGCTGCACACCCATCCTGCACTCGCATAGCTCTCCTCTGCCCACTGCTGCCCAGGGCATCCCGCTCGCCCCGTGCGACCGACAGTAAGCTGGGCTCCAAGGGATGGAGCCAACAGGTCCTCGGGATTTAGACAACCTACACAGGCTGCTCACTGACTCTGATGCCATGCTGGGTGCTGAGGCTGGAAGAATGGGTCCAACTGCTTAGGGCTGGATGTGGGAGAGATGGGGAGACATAGGGCATGTTGCTCGAGGGCTCGGAGTTTCTTTTAGGGAGTCCGAACATGTCCTAAAATTAGATTGTGGTGATGGGTGCCCCCTGTGAATATACTAAATATCTCTAATAGGACATTTAAATGGGTGAGTTAAGCTGATTTTTAAAGAATCCAAGAGACTCATCGCCACCAACAGCGTGGGAACTCAGGGAAGCAGGCAGCAGCCGCCCCAGCTCAGCTGGACCTGGAGTAAGAACCAGGGTGTGCATTTCAGGACACAACCCAGGCCCAGAGTACATTATTCTGTAAATATGTGGCATAAGAAACATTTTTTAAAATGTTCAACTTCTCGCCAGGCGTGGCTCAGGGGTTGAGCATCCATCTATGAACCACGAGGCTACGGTTCAATTCCTGGTCAGGGCACATGCCCCGGTTGTGGGCTCGATCCCCAGTGTGGGGCATACAGGAGGCAGCTGATCAATGATTCTCTCTCATCATTGATGTTTCTATCTCTCTCTCCCTCTCCCTTCCTCTCTGAAATTAAAAAAATCAAAAATAAAATGTTCAACTTCTCTAGTAATTAAAAAAAATGCAAATGAAAGCAAGGCAAGAGCCCTGGAGTGGGCAGAACAGCATTCTGCAATGTTGGTGGCCTGCAACCAGACAAGCTGAAGCCCAGCTGGGAGGACAAGCAGGTGCTGAACTTCACAGAAAATGATGCCCCATTTCTAGGAAATGACCTAAAATCAGATTCAGATAAAGATCATTATCAGTCACTTAGCAAACACTTGAGAGCGCCTAACAGAACAGTAGTGGGGACATGGTTAAGTTCGAGGGCTATGCCATGATTTAACAACAATGCTCCTATTGACATGAAAAATGCTCCTATTTAGGTTAAAAACAAAGCAAGGTATAACAGTTCCATATATTTGTGCTCAAGTATGTAAGTTTTTTGAACTACAAGTATTACAGTAAAATAAAAGCTACCATTTGCTGGTGAGGTAAATGATTATCTTCTTTTTATGTTCATTTTCCAAATGAATTATTACCTCTACAAACATTACATTTAAACCTGGAAAATGGCAAAAAAAAATCAATATATTTCCTAAGAAAATTAAGGAGGAGAATGAAGCAGAGGACAGGACTCATTCATTTGTTGGAGGAATGAACAGATCTTGAAGGCTGCTAGTAAGTGGGGAAATAAAAAGAAGTGTAGAATAATTTCAAGGTCCCTAGCTTGGAGGAATACATAACAAAGAAACAGGTTTGGGAAGAGATGAATTCCATTTTGCACCTAAGCTGTTTGAGGAACCTATGAAGTCCAGTACTGATGTATAGAGAGCCACTTTCGAGCTCAAAAAACGAAGTTGGGGCTCAATTTAAAAATTAGTAGTTGGGCATTGTCCCATGCACTGAAAGTTGCTGGTTTGATTCCCAGTCAGGGTACCAAGAAGAAAAATAAAAAAAATCTGGGGATCTTCACTGTAGAGGTGGGAGTAAAGGTGCCTACTGTTCCTTCTTACCCGTGAGGCATCTTCCTTGAAGAGATCAGAGAATTGTGCAAGGCTGTGAAGACCCAGTGTAATTTTTTGTGCTTCCAAAGACCTTTTTTACTTTTTAATATATACTTTTTATTGATTTCAGAGTGGGAGAGGGAGATAGAAACATCGATGAGAGAGAATCATCGATTGGCTGCCTCCTGCATGCCCCCTACTGGCCATATGCCCTGACCGGGAATTGAACCGTAACCTCTTGGTTCATAGCTCCACGCTCAATCACTGAGTCATGCTGGCTGGGCCCAAAGACCATTCTTAAATGGCTGGGGTAGTACCTAGACATATAAAATAACACTTCATTGTAAGTTTAGAAGTGTTTTACTTTTTCGGGGGGTTGGGGTTGAGGGAAATGCACAGCACTTCCGAAATTGCTCAGCTGCTTGAAAGATGTGAGGCCATTTAACCTCCTCTTCCTCGGATTTTCTTTAAAACAACTTTCATCTCCTTCTGCCCAACAATTTCTCATCTCATGAATCACTGCAACTGCTTCTGTTATAGCATGCTTACACTAGTCCTCTCCCTCTCAAATCCTCATCGGGTGCTTATCTCGGGAAGCGAATGTGCCAAGCACCCTGGGAAAAAGAAAAGCTACAGCCAGTTGGGGAAATAAGATGAGCATACCGAAAAAACTGTTAAATAATGAAAGGATTTCAATAACAGTTCACCTGTCTGCCTACTCTGCTGCCAGCCATTTGCCAAATCCAGGTATGGGGAGGGTCTGCCTACACTTGCCAGCGAGCCTGGGGTTCTCCTTTAGCTCATGACAAAACCCATAAAAGCCTTCATTGATAGCCACCCGGGAGGCACTCAGGATCTGCTGCATGTGGCATGATGTGTTTTCTCTTCCTTTCGCCTAACAAAGTTACAGTGTCTAGCTTCCAGATCAAACACATTGCTTTTCTCATATGGTTTACTTTATTGGAGAAAAAGATCGATTTGTTGTCCCACTTATTTATGCATAGATTCTTGCATGTGCCCTGAACAGGGACTGAACTTAACCTACAACCTTGGCGTAGTGGGATGCCGATCTAACAGTTACCTGGCCAGGGCTGAGTCACTTTTAATTAACATAAAAAATTTTCTCATTAGTTCTGACATTTTTTTTTCCTGCAAGAGCTAGTAAGAGTAAATTAAGGGTTTGAGTGTGAATGCCTGTTGCTCAAACTAGAGTTCACAATTGTCGGGCCAATGTGGCTCAGTGGTTGAGCGTCAACCTATGAAATCAGGTCACCCTCGGATTCCCGGTCAGGGCACATGCCCCAGTTTCGGCCTTGATCCCCATCAGGAGGCAGCCAATCAATGATTCTCTCTCATCATTGATGCGTCTATCTCTTCCTTCTTCTTCCTCTCTGAAATGAATACATAATTAAAAAAAAAAAAAGAGGCCCTGGCCAGTGTGGCTCCATGCTGGAACATCTGCCCAAGGACCAAAGAGTCTCACGTTTGATTCCCGGTCAAGGGCTCATACCTGGGTTGCAGGTTTGTTCCTCAGCCCTGGTCGGGGCATGTGCAGGAGGCAATCAATTGATGTGTCTCTCTTACATCAATATTTCTCTCTCTCTCCTCACCTCCCTCCCTTCCACTCTAAAAATTAATTTAAAAAAATATCCTCCGGTAAGGATTAACAACAACAAAAAGAGTTCATAACCACAGTAGGCCAGAGGAAGGACATCTTAGTTCTTTGTTCCCCCTAGGGACTAACAATGTAATGTGAGCTGATTAGGTCAATTTTTCCAAACCTTGGATTCTCCATCTTTTGTTGTTGTTATTAATCCTCATCCGAAGATATTTTTCCATTGATTTTTAGAGAGGGTGGAAAGGAGAAGAGAGACAGAGAGAAACATCGATATGAGAGAGAAACAAGGATTGGTTGCCTCTCGCATGCACACTGACCAGGGCTGAGGATCAAGCCTGCAACCGTGGTACGTGCCCTTGACCAAAATCAAACCTGGGATCCTTCAGTCTGAGGGCTGATGCTCTATCCATTGAGCCAAAACTAGGACTCTCCATCTTTAAAAAAATGCACCTACTGCCCTGGCCGGTGTGGTTCAGTTGGTTGGAGTGCCGTCCTGTAAACCAAAAGGTCAAGGGCTCAATTCCTGGTCAGGGCACATAACTGGGGTTATGGGTTCGATCCCCAGTCAGGGTACATACAAGAGGCAACTGGTTAATGCTTCTCTCTCTCGCCCCCTTTCTCTCTCTAAAATCAATAAACATATCCTCAGGTGAGGATTACAATGAAAGAAAAAAGCACATACTTGTATGGGTCCCACCTCCCTGACAAGCATAATTTACCAAGGTCGCCAGGCACTTAGAGAACTTCAGCAAAGGCCTTGTGAGAAGCCCATATACTGATACAGCCAGTGTCTTTAAACATCCTCGTGCAGAAACCTCCAATTAACTTCAGCAGCATATACTAGTACATGCCAAGGTAAAACCTTTCCCTAGAAGCTTCCGTAAATAAAATCTTCCTTTTACGCATCTTGTATTTCAGAATTAAGCAGGATTCCTAAGTAGTACTTGAAAAACATAATTTAGGTACCCCAAATATTGTAATTTGTCAAAAGAAAAATTCATCGGTTTTATTCAGAAAGTTGTTGCCTTGATAAAAAAAAAAAAAAAAAGAAGAAGAAGAAGAAAAACCCACAAAGGAGCCCTGCCAGTGTGGCTCAGCGTTGAGCATCGACCCATGAGCAAAGAGGTCACCAGGATTGAGGTCAAGGCACATGCCAGTTTAGGGCTCAGTCCCCAGTAGGGGGCGTGCATGGGGCAGCCAATCCATGATTCTCTCGCTCATCATTGACTTCTCGCTCTCTTCCTTCTTCTCTCTAAAATCAATTTAAAAAGAAGGAATTGAAAAAGGACTAAAAGGCTCCCTTTGTTTAATGAGATGCAAAAGGGGGGTGGTGGCTTAATTCCACATTAGCTAATTAACAATTATCAATTTGTTAGTTTGTAAAACTAACATCAATTTATACATACCACAATACATTGTAAAATAAAAAGCTTAACTCTTCTGAGTTATTCTGTCTCAGAAAGCAAACTAGATTACACTGGATTACAAGTGTCACCAGACTTGCTTTGGAAACATAATGTTGAACAAAATCACAAATCCAAAACCTTTCATATGGATGTAAAAAAAGTCTTTTGTGCATATTCGTTGGGCATCAAAGTATCAGGCCAAGAACTGGGTCCCGTCTGCTGACATTCTGCTCTCTCCTCCCCCGAGGGTCAGTGTGGCCAGGTGCGCCATCCAATCCTTCAGCCTGGGGACGCACAGAACCACGACAGAAACTATCAAACGCGACGTCAGACCTAAGGACCGCTGCCTGGTCCCTCGCTGCCTGCCCCCGCGGGCGCCCCTTTAAGTTCTTGCTCCATAGGCAGCTGGAGTTCCAGGCTCCTCGGAGGGATCGCTGAGCTCCGGCACCTCTTCCTCCAATACCTGTTTCAACCAGCGGTCCGTGCTGGTCTCGTCCCTAACGACGCACCAAATGAGCAGAATCATGAGGGACAGGCTTATGGGCAAGACCCTCCACCAGGGTCGCTGCTGCTCCTTTCCCAGGGAATGCTCCACCGTCCAACGGGACGGGTTGGCTTTGCTGGTGGAAAACTGAATGGGGCGGTCAGGATCGTCCTCTTCCTCGCCCTTGGCTGCGGACTGGGCCTGATCCCGGCCACCGGGCGGCGAATGCAGGCTTCGGGAAGCCCAGCGCACGAGCCTCAGCGCCCGGGCAGCCCTGGAAAAAAAAGAGCAGTGAGCTTGCCGCACGCAGCGCCCGTCCTCCGCCCCGCCGAGACCGCACAGAGCTCACCCAGCCGCCGGCGCACACAGCACACAGCTCATCACGACCTCCGCTCTGCACTCGGCTCTGCGTCGCGCGCCGCGCGCGTCAGTTCCGTCGCGCGAAACCGGAAACCAGACGCAGTTCCAGGTCTCCACTCACGACTACAGAACGTGGGACCACTTGCGCAACGGAACTGACGCATATTCTCTCAAAGGCCACTTCCGTCGCAGGTCGGCTGACGAGCCGCGAGGGCATGCTGGGAAATGTAGTTTTCTACCGGCCCGAAGAGGAGCTAGCTGCTAGCTAGCCTATGGGTTTCTAACCTGTGGTGCAGGGATTGAAGCCAGCCGGCGGAGCAGGGTACTGGCGTCTTATTCCGACAAACTGGCCTCAGAGCGGGTTCCCTAGCGGGCAGGACCGCCCCAGATTGGCGCCCTGAGCCTGCACCCCTCGTGCTGTGCTAACGTAGTCCCTGGACGCCTCCTTCTCGCAGCCTTGCGACGCCCCAGTTGGCTCTCCTCGTGGGACTTTGAGTCACAGGAGTCATCTTGTTCCCTCGATTAGTGTTCCCCCGCTAGGATCGAGTTCCGTGAGCACGTAGCCTGCCCATGGGTTCCCCCCTGGCAGTGAGCACCCCTGCGCCCTGGGACCGCAGGCATCTGCACCCAAAGCTGCTCAGGTCCCAGGGCTGGCCAAACCGCTCTGCAAGGCCATGATTCCCTCACCCTACGCAGCAGGGCACACCTAGAATCATAGAAGCCATCTTGCACTTGGACACAGCCGCCTCTCCAGCCCAACGGAATCACGTTGCACGACGTAGCACTAATCCTCTGAGGCTGCAGTGTGCTCCGGTTGACCTGGAGTCAGGCTGGGAGGGCGTCCTGCGGGGATCCCGGGGTTCCTGCTCTACCTGGTACCCCAGTTGGCTTCTTGGGAAAGCTGCTGGAGTATTCTGCCCTCAAGGCAAACTGGCCCTGGCTCTGTCTGAGCCATCCTGTCTGAAGACCACATAGGGAGGGAGGTACAGGCATCATCACAGACTCTGTGGGGATGTGTGTGTGGTGGGGGGGGGGGGGGGGCGGATGAGGGGGGTAACTTAGTGACAAAAATCAGGTCAGGAGGCCACCTTGTGGACTGTAATGTGCTGCCTCCCTAGCTCAGCCTCTTTGCCTCTGGAGCGCCCCTCACCTGCACCTTCTTTCTGGCAGAAGCACCAGACTCAAGACCAGTTTTGCACCCTCAGGAACTCTCCAGACATTAGAGCAAGGGTGGCGGGCTAGAGGTGTCCTGAACTCAGCAACATCCGGGAATGTTCTCCACCCCAGGAAACCTAGCTCCAGATGCTTGGCAGCAGTTCAGCTCCCAACCTAGGAGTTCAAAGTTGCTGTGTCAACAGACGCATCTGTGTACCCAGATCCTCCTCATTGGTCCCCACTCCACCATTTCCACCCCAGAGCCCCGCCCAGAATCACTGCCAAACCAAATGGCCCACAGGAATCCCAGGAGCACCCACTGTGGGTGGTAGGAGGACAGGGCAGGAAGTGGGAGGAGGGGCCAGAATCTTTCTGGAGGAGGTGGAGATCAAAGAGCCCTGGAGTTAGGTGTGGAGTTGCTGATTAGGCTGATGCAGCCCCCTGGAATGCTTTAGGGCAGTGGTTCTCAACCTTCCTGATGCCGAGACCCTTTAATACAGTTCCTCATGTTGTGGTGACCCCCAATTTCATTGTTACAAATTGAACATAATTAAAGCATAGTGATTAATCACAAAAACAGTATGTAATTATGTATGTGTTTTCCGATGGCCTTAGGCGACCCCCGTGAAAGGGTCGTTCAACCCCCAAAGGGGTCGCGACCCACAGGTTGGCGACCCACAGGTTGAGAACCGCTGCTTTAGGGCATCAGGGCACAGGCTGCCCTGGGACAGCAGAGTAGGGGCAGAGCCGGGAGGCTAGGCAGGGGCTCAGGCTTCACTCTGAGGGGCCACTAAGCCCTCAGTCTCGATGACTGCCCTGGATGGGTGACGGAAAGAAGACACCTTGTATGGGCGACTGAACCCCTCCAGCTTCTGTTTCATTGGCTGTAAAATGTCATGCCTCCTTAGCAGGCTGCTGCTAGGACCGCTTCTGTGCCTGGGATGCCCTTGGTGGACCCCAGGACAGCTGTTATGATTAATAACGGGACAGCATAGGAATGTCCTATCCTGAGGCAGTGGAGGGCACTCTTACCACCACTGGGTTCCTGGGGCGCTCTGAGGCCAGGGTCTGGGAGGAGCAGCTCATGGCCATAACAAGGAATGAGCGAACCCGGGTGTCCGGATGACCCGTCCTTTGTCCCAGGCTCCTGCTGCCCCTTGGTCTCTGTTGTAGGTAAAGGCCTGAGCAAAGAACATAGCTTTGTGGAGTCTGAAGAGGATGGCGGCCCCTGGCCTCCACGGGGTGCCTGGTGCTCAACGGGTCTCCTGTTGGACATAAACTGTCAGAGGACATCAGCATGAGACCAGGCCACGCCATGACTGTGATGGCTCCACATGAAACACACTCTTTTGTAATCACATCTGAACACAAACAAGGACAGCCCAAACCTCAAAAAGGAACAAACACCTGTTCTGGCTAAAGGAGGGAAGGCTGTCCTTTACCAGCCATGGGGGAGCCTTGCCTCCTCTGCCCTCCTTCTGATAAGATATATTAAGACTAGAGGTCCAATGCACGAAATTCGTGCAAGAGTAGGCCTTCCTTCCCCCGGCTGCAGGCACCGGTTTCCCTCTGGCACCCAGGACCCAGGCTTCCCTCACAGACCTGGCTTCATCTGGAAGGTTGTCTGGAAGGATGTCTGGTCTGATTAGCATATTACCCTTTTATTATTATAGATGCTGTACTAGGGGGCAGGGTGGAGGTGGGCAAAGGTGGGGGAAGAAATGGGGACATCTGTAATAGTGTCAAAAATAAAAATAAAGTGGCCCTAGCTGGTTTGGCTCAGTGAATAGAGCATCAGCCTGCGGACTGAAGTCCTGGTTTTGATTTTAGTCAAGAGCACATGTCTGGGTTGCAGGCTGGATCCCCAGTAGGGGGCATGCAGGAGGCAGCCAATCAATGATTCTCTCTTATCATTGATGTTTCTATCTCTCTTTCCCTCTCGCTTCCTCTCTGAAATCAATAAATATATTAAAGTAAATAACTAGCCCTGACCAGTTTGGCTCAGTGGATAGAGAGTCGGCCTGCGGACTCAAGGGTGCCAGGTTCGATTCCAGTCAAGGGCATGTACCTTGGATGCGGGCACATCCTCAGTAGGGAGTGTGCAGGAGGCAGCTGATCGATGTTTCTCTCTCATCGATGTTTCTAACTTTCTATCCCTCTCCCTTCCTCTCTGTAAAAAATCAATAAAATATATTTTTAAAAAAATAAAATAAATAACTAAATAAAAGTAAAAACAAAAATAAAATATGCTGTACTGGGCCGAATGGTGTCCCTCACAAATTCACATCCACCCAGAACCTTAGCACGTGCCCTTATTTGGAAACAGCGTCTTTGCAGATGTAATTTGTTAAAATGAGGTCATATGAGACAGGGTGAGCCCCAAGCCCCATGACTGGTGTCCTTATAAGAAGAGGAGAGAAGACCCTGAGCACACAGGGGAGGCGGACGTGTGAAGAGCCAGAGGCCAAGGGATGCCCGGGATTGCCAGCAGCACCGGAAGCTCAGAGAAAGGCCTGAGGGGACTCTGCCCTGGAGCCTTCCAAGGGAGTCCTGTGTGTCCCTGCTCACACCTTGGCTCTGGGTTTCTGGCCCCCAGAACTGTGAGGAGACAACTTTTCTGTTGTTTTAAGTCACCCGGTTGGTGGCCCTTCGTTAGGGCAGCCCCAGGAAACAGACAGGCACCCGTTCAGAGAGTCGCCTGCTTCCTGACAGTGTGTAACCCAGAGCAGAGCGTCTCACCCAGCCCTGGCCTGAATCCACAGCCCTTTCTAACTCCCTTCTACCGAGACATCCATGTCCCCGGGGGCACGTTCTCCTGGCTGCAAGCAGCATAAAGTCACCTTGTCCGGCCACAGGTGTGCTCCCGGTGGGGGGCAGTGACAGCCCCAACTACTACGGTGCACTGGACCCTTCGATGCCGTGGGGCCCACAGTGGGCAAAGCCACAACCAGATGGATTGAGGGCCTCCTGTGTCTCTGGGGCCCTCCCCTCCTCCCCCACCCCTGACCCAGCAAGCCCAGCCGAGCACTGGGTGACAGGTACCTGGTACTGCCAGCCCTGCCTGCTCTTGGTCATGGTCCCCCTCCCCGCCTCCCAGGGACATAAGCTAACACCTCAGCCTTCATTATCTCAAAGCACACAGAGAAACCTCGCAGGAGGCCTAATGTCCCACTAATGGGCAGGAAGGCTGCAGCCCTTGTGTGCCCAGTGCCGGGAATAATTCATCGTAGCGCCACTTGAGAGCTGACATATTGGAGCTATTGATTTTCCCTGGGACGATCGATACGGGATGCGTGGAGAAGGGCAGGCCCACCGCCTTTGGAAGGGCAGAGCCTTTCTCCTGGGGACTGAGGCCTGACAACAGGTGGGGGCTGGTGGGGACAGGATGGGCACAGACCTCCGAAAGGCCCAACGCTGCCCCAAAGGGGAGGCTGGCTGGGAGCAGATGCTGGGACATATGCTCGGGCCCCGGGCCTGGCAGCCAGAGTGCCTGCTCCCCAGCCCCACTCTAGGGGCCCGGTGGGCGGCAGGGGGCTTGGGACACCCATGCCACTTGGCCTGGCTGGCCACCCACCATGGGCTGCACATGTGTAGGAAACTGGGTCTCTCTGCCCATCCAGGGTCCCCTCAGGGTGCTGTACCCCAACCCAGCCTCACCAGTAACAAAAGCGAGTCCACCTGCCAGACCCCTGGGCCCATCAGGAACCTGGCCTAGGGGCAAGGAAGGGGATACTTCTCTGACGCCTACTGAGGCCCCAGACCTGCTTCTTAAATCCTTCACACTTGCCCCCCTCTCTTAAGCCCTCAGACTCTGCCTTGTGGCTCCATCACTGATGGCTGGCGCTGGCACGGTCGTACCCCTGCCCCGGTCTCTGGCCTCAGGCCTCTCCTGTCCAGATGTCCTGCCCACACACCTGTGTGCTCTGGTCCCCCCGCCCCGCTCCAGAAG